AAAATAGACAAGATCCTGCAACCATGGAGAGGTAAATACCTGTCTATTAATTGAAAAATTGCCCTGATTAACTCCTTAGTCATATCTCAGTTTACTCACTTACTTATGGCACTGCCTACTCCTGATGATTTGTTTTTCAAATCATATGAGCAAAAAATATTTCGCTTTATCTGGGATGCTAAACCAGACAAGATAAAGCATGCCTATCTATATAATGAATATGAACTGGGTGGGTTGAGGTTATTAAAATATAAAAGCACTAAACCGTTCTCTAAGAGCTTCACTTATCCAAAAGTTTTACTTGAACCCTAAATAGTTCTCAAGTAGATTACTAAGAAAGCTCATCCATTGTTTAAAAATGGCCTTTTTGCCTTTGTGCAGATTGCCATGTCTCATTTTCAAACAAGCATTGCAGAGCTGGCTACAATCTCAATTTCCTCCCCCTGAAAAGATGTTCGTAAAGTGTATTCCGTTTTTAAATGATATTGTAAATTGAAATGGTAGAATTGTATGGGAAGGTCTGCTTAATCCAAGATTACAACCAATTGATTACAGCATTACCCCAAAAATGGAGGAGGCAGGTGGCAGTGGGAGGAGGTAAGGAACTGGTCTGTCTGCCCAATATAAAGGATCAAAACTGGCGGAGGAATAAAAATAGCATAAATAGGAAAGTATACCAGTTTCATTTGAGGACCAGGGTGTTGACAGCTGTGCCATACAGATTGCATAATAGTTGGGAAGAGATTTTTGATGTACCGATTTCATGGTACAGGGTGTATGAGTTGATATATAAAACGTCGCAAGATTGAAGACTTCGTGTTTTTTCAGCTAAAATTATTGTACAGAATTCTTGCCACCAACAAAATGTTGAATATTTGGGGCATACAATCATCGCAGCTGTGCAGATTTTGTTGTGAGGATACAGAATCAATAGAAAATGTGTTTTGGTATTGCCCTCAGGTAGCCTGTTTCTGGTCTCAGGTTCAGGAATGGCTGAAAATGCATAACATTGATCTAAAATTGACCCTAGAAATAGTATTGTTGGGTGATCTGGAGAGACCGGGTCAGTCAATTACTAATATACTAATACTCTTAGTAAAAGTATTTATCTTCAACTGGGGATTCTATCCGATTAGATAGATTCAAATTGTATGTTAAACATCACAGCATAGTTAAAAGATATATGGTGTGTAGAAATCCGAAGAGGGTGGCCAGCAGAGATAGGTGGGATGGGCTGAGGGAAGCTGAGGGTTGGGATATGGAATTGGAGATAATTGGGAGTGGAGTTGCTGGGCAGGGGATAGAATGACGGTCAAAGATAAAAGTAAAAAAAAAAAGAGTCAAAATAAAACAAAACAAAAAGTAAGTTTGAATGACACTGACGGGCAGTGTTGTTACAGCTAATGCCTGTTTACCTGAGGCTGATGCTGCGCAGGTGTTTGTACACATGCATATACACACACTCTCATTCAAATGCACACACGTGCACATACACGGACACACACACACGTACACACATGAACAAAAGAGAAAAAAGCTAAAGACAAAAGAAAACAGAAAACAACAATGCATAAAAAAAAGACATCAAGGACAACAAAAATCATAACAGCAAGGCCAACTGAATATGTTTAAGTGCTTCTTTTTTTAAATGGTTGAATTAATAAACTAAACTAAATAGTGCACTCTTGGGGAACTGTGGGGGGATCTTGGAGGGCTGGTGGTCTGGCGGTTGGGAGCTTGGGCCGGCGGCTGATAGGTCACTGGTTCGGGTCCCCGTTTTGGGAGATCTGTCGACGTGACCTTGAGCAGGGCGTTGACTCTGGTTGCTTCTGTGGGTCGCTCTGGATGGGAGACTGTTAGATGACTGAATGTGATGTAGATGTTGAGTCGCTTCACTGCAAGTAGATTGTATGTTTTAATATTCTATAAAAAAAGACAATTATTATTTTAAAAAGACATGGGAAATTACCAGAAATTACTTTGGCAAATGACAAGAGTGGCAAGGAGTGTAATGTTGGCAGTGGCGATTTTAGCATGTAAATCTTGGTGGGGCAAACTAAAAAATATATGTTTTAGATGCATGCCAGCAAAGCCACTACACAACACAACACTAAAGAATACATTAATTGCACTATAACGGTGACAAACAATGCCCACAAACTGTTAGGGCCTACATAAAGGTGTCCCAACTGCAGAATCCCAACAGCAGTCCCAACACCTTACCACTGCTACACCTGGCTATCAGCTGAGCCTTGTCTGGCAGCGAAACAGTTAATTCAGCCTCATTTACTGCCTTTAAAAAAAACATAGCTGATATGGCTGACTTGCTTAAATAAATGTGGTTTCTACTGACAATTGAGATTTACAAACTATGGCATAAGGGGACGACGAGCGGATAAGAAGCAATCTGTAATTTCGATGAAGACATTAATGAGCGAGCTAGGACGGACGTAGTCAATACAACTATTTGTTCAGCACTTTTGAAATGTAAAGTGACATAATTCAGAACATGGGCCGTTCTTACAGTGTTCTCTCTGTACCCCAAGTCAGAACCATAGGATAAATAAAGGGGGCACATAAGCAGACACTTAGTATTACTTTCTTATCTCCCTGGCATATTACATCATTTATGCAGCAGCATACAATGCATTTTTAGACTCAACTTGTTGTCCTGTGCTCACTTGAACAGGAAGGTGGTGCGGCGGTCCTTCATGGGCAAATTTTGTCATCAAACTTTGTCATCAAAGTCTGGCATTCTCTGGATTTATGGTGCTTTCAAGACAACTGGGAACTCTGAAAAAAACAAGGTTGAATCATGACGTCAGTGATCTTCAGGTCGGAGCACTAGAAAGAGGCCCGAGTTCCCGACTTGGAATTCCGAGTTGGATGACCGTTCAAAACATATTTTCCCAGTCAGCGCTCGTTTTTTTTTTCGAGTTCCCAGTTGTTTTGAACTCACTGAAGTCTGAGATTTCCCCGTTCCGAGTTTCCAGTTGTTTTGAACGCAGCAGAAGTCATGCTGGATTGACAGCTTGGCCAATTTATTCAACCTTGTATGGCCCATGGTGTTAAATGTTTATCATTTTAAGCTTGGAAAAGGTACCCTTAAACCCAGACTTGGACCACACACCAACTCCACTGAATAGCAGACTAGTGATTGCTTTGCAACGCTTGCAGTTAGCCACTGATTCCTTCCAGACCACTCATTGTTGAATTTGCGATTTCAAACTTGTAGTGTAATGTTTATGTCCAATGGCCGATGAGCACCAACAATTTATCTATGCCCTGAACGACAGGTCGCCACTGAATGTTGGCTAAAATAAGTGGTACCTTCCTTCATCCCACAACGACTCGTTGCACAAGCTTCCATAGCCTTGCGTCCTTGATTAACCATATCTAAACTATTGGGTTTCACCAAAATAATGTATTAATGTTACAGAGGCATATCCAATATCTCTAGGAACAATACTTAAGATTCATTGGGTTAATTGCCTTCGCTATCAAATAAGCGTTTAAACACATTTTTATCCAGAGTCTCCAGTTTTCCGTCTGTAGAAGTGGGAGATTACGTGGTAGCCTATACTCTTACGTGACTGTATCGTCTAGAGTGGACTATAATGACAGCCCACAGGCGGAAAATGGGAGACCATGGATCAAAACGTGTTTTAAACTCTTATTTGATAGCGAAGGACACATTAAACCCAATGAATCGTAAGTATTGTTCCTTGAGATACTAGACATGCCTCGGTAACGTTAAAACAGTATTTTGGTGAAACCAAATAGTTTAGATTTGGTTGATCAAGGATGCCAGGCTACGAAAAGCCAATGGATCAAAAGCGCAATGTATCATGGGTAAACTGTGATTGACTGACTGATCTACAAATAATGAGTATTTATTTATGATGCAAGGTGATCAGTTGGTAGAGCATGGCGCTTGCAACGCCAGGGTTGTGGGTTCGATTCCCACGGGGGGCCAGTATTTAAAAAATAAAAATGTATGCACTCACTAACTGTAAGTCGCTCTGGATAAGAGTGTCTGCTAAATGACAACAACAAAAAAATAGATCAGTCACTCGGCAGTCATTTTGATGCTCTCGAACACGACCAATAGCTCTTTGCAGGATGAGGCAAACTGGGTTGGACTTTGAAACCCACACCTACTGTTACATATAGCACCACCCACCTGGTCAAATGCTGTGAAAAGCATGGGCTTGTTTGACTGGTAAGCGTGAAGCAACCCACTGCAGAAGAAAGTTGAGGAGTGAAGTCAGGGGAGGTGCATCTACTACAGCCAAAGGTCAGACACTGATGTGGTTTTCCAACAGCAAGGCTCAGTGCAACATGACAGTGTTGCCATTGTTTACGAAAGTTTTTATTTGTAATGTCGAAATAAACATGTCTACAACCCCCATATCACACACTCACAAACTGTAAATATGTGTGTACATTGTACTATCCATTTGGGAGAGAGAGCCTCAAATGACTGCAACATAAAGCTAGTTCGCTAAACAGTGCATTATTTCTGGCAGTGTACAGCAAGGTTAGTTATGAACAATGACAGCGGGTTCCACATGAATCTCGCAAATTTGCATCAGGTCTGAGACACGTCTTTGGTCCCGTTCGCGGTGGTCAAATTTTATGCAGTCCATGCAGTCGACATGTAGGCGCATGTTGGACAATTGTTATCCCCATTATGCAACACACTTTGAAAGGCGGTGACCAACGATGGTTAGTGATCCCCTCGAACGCGCCCAGTGTGTCCCAGTGGAAATGGCAGAGGAAAGGCGCGTCTCGGAATTCCCGCCACGTGCACGCAAATCACTCCTTTCTGATAATGAGCATTTGATTGGTCCAAATCGAAAACATGGTAAATATATAAGCCATCTCATTGGTTGAATCCTCCACGTCGCTAGTGAACACAGCGCAAAGCCTCTAGACAAGAGATCATTTGGCGTCTCGTACTATGAAAAAATAGTGCGTGTATACATATCCTTATATCTGAGAAATTACACAATGGTTATTTTTTATATTGTATGAATCATCTTATCTCTACATTTCAATTAATTATTGGCGGATATAACAACAAATTCCAGGAAAATACCGAGTAGTCTTTCGGGGCGGAGGGATATAACCATCCTCCACTCGTCAAAATATTGGCGTTACAGAAGAGGTACGGAAAGACCGCGCCAAAGCGCAGACAGCAAATACATTCCGTGATATCAACACAGTCCCTTGGATTTCTTACCACCTTCTTCGTTTGCTACTAATAGTGAACAGCTCTGCAAGTGTCCTTTCTTCAGTACTTCAAGAAGACTAATCTTCCAAGTGCAGGAATAAAGCTACAAGATTCTCGTTGTACACGGCGTTTCTAATCTTGAAAAGGACGAAGCGGCATTTTATTTGAGACAGCGACGGCGCGGGTGGAGTTGGCACACTGGATTTAGTAGCCAACCGCTACCATCGCTACGTTAGCCTTTTCGATCATATTTACATAGGATTGGATCGGAATCTACCTTTTAAGATAAACAAGAATTTCGTCCGTCTTCCGTTCGAATATGTTGTTGTCAAAATTTGGCTCATTTCCGCACATTTACAACCCTTCGAGCATGGACCATTTACCGGTGAAAATACAACTCCAGCCAGGTATGAACCCACTGTCATTCTTCGTGCTGTACATTGCCAGAAACAATGCACTGTTTAGCGAACTAGCGTTATGTTGCAGTCATTCATACTTCCTATAATGAAATAATAATTGTATTTTACTAACTCTAAAACCCTGTGCGTGAAACTATTTAAATGGCTTCGTGCCGTGGATATGCACGCCAACGCCGGTTTTTATTACAAACATATAGCTAGCTAGTATTGTAACTGTCTGCAAAGGCTAGTCAACGGCTGCGACTCGACTGGCTATCTTGCAGTGTGAAAGACGAGGCTGTCGTGTATGCTTATCTGCTCTCAATTTAATGTTTCTCAAGTTAAAGTGGAAAAGGAGCCGTTCGAAAAGGTTTACACAGTGGGATCCGTGCTGGGCAGCGGTGGATTCGGCACAGTCTACGCCGGTAGTCGGCTCTCCGATGACGCACTGGTAAGAATATGAATGTTTTGATCTCCGCACATGGCGCCATCAGGCATCTCATCGTTATTTGATCTCTTCGTTATTTACTAACTTCGTTGTTGCTACAATGTATCTAATGTGTCTTTTTTTTCTCTCCCGAAATTAGGTTGCAGTGAAACATGTGCCGAAGGAGCGTGTGACCGAATGGGGCACTATTGTAAGTATTACCACTCCGGTTTGTTTAGGTTTTTCACCCATGCTAGTTGTCATGGTTTGATAATTGAATCGATTCTAGGTCACTCAACTCATTTGTGATTCATATTGTTTTACAGAGTGGTGTGGTGGTGCCTTTGGAGATTATTTTATTGAAGAAAGTCAGTTCGTCGTTTCGAGGGGTTATACAACTCCTGGATTGGTATGAACGACCAGACGGCTGGTTGATTGTTATGGAACGACCGGAGCTGGTCAAGGATCTTTTCGATTTCATAACGGAGAAGGGCGCTTTGGATGAGGAGACTGCGAGGGGATTTTTCCGTCAGGTTTTGGAGGCTGTCCGCCACTGTTACAGCAGCGGGGTAGTTCACAGAGATATCAAAGATGAAAATCTGCTTGTAGACCTACGCACTGGGGACCTCACGCTTATTGATTTTGGTTCAGGGGCGATTCTCAAGGACACAGTCTACACTGACTTTGACGGTACGTACCCTACCCTGACTCAATGCAATGGCTCGGTTGTATTTTCTGGTTTTGTTTTTGAAGGCGCTTTCAGCAATATTTGTTTGACAGGTTATTTTATACTGTTTTTGTTTACTCGTTAGATTTGGAGTATTTTTGACTTTGGTATAGATAGCTACTCGCCTTAGATCGTGAGCTGGTAATTTCTCTTCCCCCTGTATTGGCGGGTGTGTCCACAAGACGCTGTGACGCAGTGGTTTGTTTTTGATACTTACATTTTTACATTTACATTTTAGTCATTTTGCAGATGCTCTTATCCAGAGGGACTTACAGTTAGTGAGTGCATACATTTTCATACTTCAGAGTTTTCCCTCGGGCTGTAACATTATCAGCGAGGTTTAGGAGTGATTTTTTTTATAAATAGGCCGATCCTTATTCATTTTGCTTGTCCCTATGTAGTTATTTATAAAGGTGCTTTAAATTATGGCATATTAGTCAATAAGATAGCACACTAGAGTAGTAAAATAGGTTATTGTTATATGTTGATAATTGTCTGTTATGTTACATTAAATGCTAATTTCAAAGCCTTTAGGTAATGGCTATTGGGCCAGCTGCCACGTAACATCTGTTTGTTTTGAAACCTGAGCTTGGGCTGATTCATGTCACGTGATGGCTCAAATTGCGCATTCGAGTTTTTGTTTGGTATCCAAGTTACTCATGCCCAGAGTGAGGTGGGTCAACCAGTTTCATAGAGATTTGTTGTGAAAAAGAAAAAGGCTTTTTAACGCCAGTATAACATCCTTGTTTTAGATGGAATTACACTTGCCATGTTCAGCGTTAATAGAGACATTATCTGACTATTTTTAAGTATCCATAAATTATAATATCTTACAAAATCCAACAGTATTGCAATATAGTCCTATTTATGTTATTATTGTCACATGAAATGCCCCAAATAAACTTTTTTGATGTTATTATAGAAGTAAAACATCACTAATCACCACCCCCTTTTCTCCTCCAGGTACAAGAGTATATAGCCCGCCAGAGTGGATCCGCTTCCATAGATACCACGGGCGCTCGGCTACGGTGTGGTCGCTAGGGGTGCTACTGTATGACATGGTCTGTGGAGACATCCCCTTTGAGCAAGACGAGGAAATCCTCCGGGGGAGACTGTACTTCAGGAGGAGAGTGTCTAATGGTGTGTACTACCTCCAATATACAACCTACTATCATAAACACACATTGCTTAACACTCTAATCTAAGAACATATTTCTAAACACGTTCTATTTCATTTCTTCCTGTGTGTTCCTATACCCCTCTCTATCTCCCTCTTGAGATTCTCCCACAAAATAAAATACTCATCCATGTTTTCCCCTTTTCTCTCCCTCCTTCCAGAGTGCCAGCAGCTGATCAAGTGGTGCCTGTCGTTACGGCCCTCAGACAGGCCTACTCTGGAACAGATCCTGGACCACCCGTGGATGCGCTTGGCTGGGGAGGTGTCGATGTCCTCCAAGCCTGAGGATGGGGACATCCAGCTGAGGACCATCGACACAGACACGTCATCGAGCACAAGCTCCAGCAAGGAGAGCCTTTGAAAGAGAAGAGGGGATGAGGGGAGAGAATGGACACGAGGGGGGACTCTGGTCCTTATGCCCCAGCTTGGGCTGGCAGAATTATTGTTTCCTTTTGTAGGGAATTATTATAATTTATTACAGTTTGTTCTTCCTTTTTATCTTTAATTTTAATTTTTTATAACTCATTAATTGTTTCCTAATGTGGAACATTTGCTGTTTGGGCGGTCTTTACCAGTGACTATTTATTTTGTACTTTATTATTTTCTAATTTGTTATAACGAGGCTGGTTTATGCATCTGGTTTAAAGCCCCCTATTCAGACAGACGTGGCTGCTCTCATAGAGCTTGGAGAATACTTTATATTTAAATGTTTTGATTTGGAGTGCCTTTTTGAAAGCTGCTTCTCGGGGGCTTTTGTCATAACTATTTTTTTGTTAGAACCCTTTTGGGCTGGTTTGTTTGTACGTTTCCCACCCTTTCATGATGGAGATTAGTTGTCTTCCTCCATAACAGTGTGGTAAACTACACCACCCAGCATGGTTAGGGATAATAAAATAGGGGAGGGGGGGGGCAGTTGACTGTTGACCATGGAATACTTGAATCGCAACTGACTCACACTGCGCCCCCTTACTAAGCTGCTCACTCATACTACAGCCTCGAGTCGTTTGGATTTCTCAAAATCGGATCCTTTCATTTCTGAATGTGTTTTTAAACTACATTATATCTATGTGTTTAGCCCCTTGGAAATATATTTTAATTACATGTTTTGCCTTTCCCCCATCTCACTGCTGGCACTACATTGCTCCTGGACTGGCGTATCCATGGCTTAAGTGTGAAATGCACAATCAATGCAATATTCATGGGCTCAGTTACGTCTTTGTCAATACAAATATTGTGCCTTTTTTTTTCTTCCAATGCTTTTAATTTATTCAGAACGTGTAGACATTCCACACTTGTGGCTTATTTATTTATTGTCGATGTTTAAGAGAAAGTGAAAAATCCCAGAATTTGCATATCTTTACATGGCCTTTTTCTTTTCCATTCCTGTAATGATATTTTTTTACACTTCGACATGATTTTTTTAGATTGTGGATGGATGCACTGAAGTTGTTGATGTTAAAGGGAATAAAACAAGGTTTACTTAAATTTGGAAGAGCTATGAATGTTATTGAACTCCTTTTTATAGTCCTATCTGTGGTAATGTTGGATTGAATTACTCTAAAAGTACATCTGTTTTTTAGGTGTACATTACACGTGTGCTGTCTCCATGCATTGAACTCCATTGACACGTATGGCTATTGGGTTGAATAGGGCTGTTCTAGTTAGTGACTATGATGAATCTATGTGGCTTGCCTGGTGTTAGATATTCTCTTTCAGTTCAGCTGTATGACATGAACGATAAAGATCTGGAGATGCTATTTTTTTATACAAACATTTCAATTAAATCCCTTTTTTGTACATAAATCATACTTGTGTCGTCTTATTGACCTACTGGTAAAATTTCCTCATAGTCATTGATGAAACCCTATAAACCAAACATTGTTAAATGGGTAAGGATGTTTGCAGATATACAGTGGTAATACTAGTGATCAAAATGGTCATTACAGCTCTCCTAAAGATGGCTCAATTTACACATTGAGTAAGAGTGCCCACACATACTTCTGGTAGACTGAATTTATTACACACTAAAAAAGTATTGTTCATAAAATGATAAATCCAACAGCCTCACTTTGTCATTATTTTAATGGATTCTGTAATGTCTAAGTGCTGAAACCACAGTCTCTAATAGAGGACATACACTGAGTATACCAAACATTAGGAACACCTTCGTCAGGCATGGACTCTACAAGGTGTCAAGCATTCCACAGGGATGCTGGCCCATGTCTGTATTTGTATTTATTATGGATCCCCAGCAGCTACTCTTCCTGGGGTCCAGCAACATAAGACCATTACATACAGTTTAAAATACTACATGACATTACATTTCATAACACCTTACCCAACCCATTGTGTGTTCCCTCAGGCCACCACTCCACCACAACATATTTACAGTACAACATCCATGTGCACGTGTGTCTGTGTGTGACTCTTCTCAGTCCCCACTGTTCCATAAGGTGTATTTTTATGTTTGTTAAATCTGATTCTACTGCTTGCATCAGTTACCTGATGTAGAATAGAGTTCCATGTAGCCATGGCTCTACGTAGTACTGTGCGCCTCCCATAGTCTGTTGACTCCAATGCTTCCCACAGTTGTGTCAAGTTGGCTGGATGTCCTTTGGGTGGTGGACCGTTCTTGATACACACAGGAAACTGTTGAGCGTGAAAAACCCAGCAGCGTTGCAGTTCTTGACACAAACCGGTACACTTAGCACCTACTACCATATCCCGTTCGAAGGCACTTAAATCTTTTGTCTTGTCCATTCACCCTCTGAACGGCATACATACACAATCCATGTCTCAATTGTCTCAAGGCTTAAAAATCATTCTTTAACCTGTCTCCTGCCCTTTATCTACACTGGTTGAAGTGGATTTAGCAAGTGACATCAATAAGGGATCATAGCTTTCACCTGGATTCACCTGGTCAGTCTATGTCATGGAAAGAGCAGGTGTTCCTAATGTTTTGTATACTCAGTGTATGTGACGTGGCTGTATTAGCTGTACACAGAGAAGGGTAGGAAAGTGACGCAGGAATGAGGCAGGAGCCAGGGACATGCATCATCACACTTAAAACACAACCCTGAACCTAGCTATAACTAATTGCTTTTCCATTTTATGCTGCCTGCTTCATCTGCCTGCCTGCCATACAATAACAATAACATAAGTCACTCCATTATTGGTGGAGCAGAGCAGTGGGCTGTGAGTAAGTGAGAGAGAGAGAGAGAGAGAGAGAGAGAGAGAGAGAGAGAGAGAGAGAGAGAGAGAGAGAGAGAGAGAGAGAGAGAGAGAGAGAGAGGTAGACGATGGTCGTCATCATCTGTAAGTCAGTGTTTTCCAGGAACTGGTAGTGGGGGATGGGTGTTGTTGTTGTGGTGGGGAGGTGCTGCCCCCTCTGGTGACTCCCGGCACATGCGCCGTTATGGCACCTCAGTTTAGATAATGACCATAGGCACAGATCTAGGCTCTACCCTTCCTCAAGCTAAACCTTAACTGTTTGAGGTGAAAAACACATAGCAGATCTTAGTTCAGTGTCTAGGTCAAGCGTCCATGGTTAACCGTTAAATTGTATCCTAAATATGATATGCAACGTACATTTTTATAGCTCTCCCTATCTAAAAATCACACATCATCAAATCAGAGACAAGCACATACACTTTAATTTCCAATATGACAGCAGGCATATGGACATTTAAGAATTTTAGCATTGGATAGCTGGTTCCTAAAGCACCATAAACATACCCAAGGATCAACACAGTGATTAAGGAACTAATTTATTTGCTGAGGAAAATGGCAAGGCTTCCCTTTTAATTAGCTATCTTTCAAAATTCAACAGGCACTCGCACATCTGAGCTATCTTTTTTTGCAGATGCATGGTAACAGTTGAATAAGATGAGAAATGTGCTATCTTTGCCTTGCAAAAGTATTCAGACCCCTTGGATTTCTTCACATTTTATTGTGTTACAAAGTGGGATTAAAATGAATTTAATTGAAAAAAAATTGTCAACAATATACACAAAATGCTCTGTAATGTCAAGTGGAAGAAAAAGGTGATTTTTTATTTAAAAAATGTCATAACTAAAATATAGTATAATAAGTATTCTGCCCCTTTGTTTAGGCAAGCCTAAATTAGTTAATGAGCAAAATTTGGCTTAACAAATCACATAAATTGTTACATGGGACTCACTCTGTGTGTCATTTGACATGATTGTTAAATAACTAACCCTTCCCCTGTCCCCCATACATACATCTGTAAGGTCCCTCAGTCAAGTATTGAACTTCAAGCACAGATTCAAATACAAAGACCAGGGAGCTTTTCGAAAGCCTCATAAAGAAGGGCAGTGATTGGTAGATGGGTAACAACAACAAATCAGCCATTGAATATCTCTTTAAGCATGGTCTAGTTAATAATTGTGCTGTTCATTATGTATTAAACCACCCAGACACCTCAAAGACACAGTCGTCCTTCTGAACTGTACTGCAGAACAGGAATGAAACTGCGCAGGGATGTTACCATGAGATAGATCATTGGTGATTTTAAAACAGCTACAGTGTTCAATGGCTGTGATGGGAGAGAACTGAGGATGCATCAACAACATTGTAGTGACTCCACAATAATGTATACAACAAGGCACTAAGGTAATAATGAAAAAAATAAACTGGCAAAGGAATACACTTTTTGGTCTAAATGCAATGCTCTATGTTTGGGGCAAATCCAACAGAACACACCATTGAGTAACTGCCTCCTTATTTTCAAGCATGGTGGTAGCTGCATCATGGTATGGGTATGCTTGACATCTGCAACACTGGGGAGTTTTTCAGAATAAAAAGAAACGGGATGGGGCTAAGCACAGACAAAATCCTAGACCAAAACCTTTACACCAGTCACTGGGAGAGAAATTCACCTTTCAGCAGGATAATAACCTACAACACAAGGCCAAATCTACACTGGAGTTGCAGTGAATGTTCCTAAGTGGCCAAGTTACAGTTTAGACTTAAAACACACTTAAATCGCAATAATTAATTAAACTCCTATGGGGTTTAACACTTTTTGGGGGTTTATATGGTCCCACCCCCATTTTGTGTTAAAGCTACTCTGGTCATGGTGTTGATATTTTTGGATTTAAAACGACAGTAAATGGCGATAATATCTAGCTCTCAGAGTTGCTTAAATTTAACTCAAATTGTGATTTTACTATTTTCAGTGTAGATTTTTTATCAAGTCCCTTGTCATTTAACACTTTTCTGTGTTGTTTTGAATTACCAATCAAAATGTACCGCAGAGTGCATTTATCTTTCAGTTTACTTCCTTTGAGTTATAAGGGTGTAAAGCCTTAATTTAATATTTCTTAAAGTGTCACATTATGGCGGTTTGCAATGTGATATCCAGTAGCGGGGCATGGGTAAAATCACCGGAGAAGCCAAGCCCCCCAAAAAGCCATGCTAAATGGCATATTATATTATTATATATTATATTGCAACCTACATATTATATTATTATATATTATATTACAACCTACAGTATGTGTTGTGATAATTGCGTTGTTTGCTCTATAACCTATTAGTTTATATGCCTTGACACCGTGATATATAGGCCTATAGCCGAGACAAAAATAAGACACACTGGCAGAATAAATTCAACCACACATTCGGCATCCATGAATACACATCGCTGGTGATATCCAATCACTGTTGGAAGCCACCTTGCAGGAAGATATCCAGCACTTTTACATCACTCACAACTTCCATTTAGAATGCCTGTCAGAGTAGGGGGAAAAATGCAATACATGAAGACTACCTACGCCATGTAAA